ATCCTCCCTATTGATGGCTGCTGCATAAGAGCACCCGTGATCATCTCAAACACGATAATGAACTCCAGCGATCTCCGTCGGTTAATACCGCAGCCCTCACAGTTTCCCTCCCTGTCCACCACAGCGTCCAGGGCACATTGAAGGATATCATTCATCACCCTTGGGTTGAGCAGCTCATCACCGGTGTCTTGTGAATTTTGAATATTCGCGTAAACGTAATTCATGGCATCCAAAGGCCTCCTTTCCGCCAGCAACACCTGAACAACCAGCAAATGCGCCCGCAACCTCAGCAGCATATCAATGCCCAGTCGTCGATACTCACCACCCATCGGCAGAAGCACCATCGCCGTGGGCACCTGATCTGTAATCATGCCAGGAAGAAGCAGCTGGCGCAGCGGGCCGCAATGCAATTCTGCAGCATGAAGAAGACGAATAAGTAGTCGCTGTAGTTCGTCCACAAGTTCTAAACCCGTCCTCATAACGCAAGATGCATATTCAAAAAGGGCGTAGAAAAGGTACCGTGCAAAGTATAATTGACCTTTGGAATTTCTGCTCTCGCTTGGGGACCTCGCGTCGATTGTCTCCTCTTCGCAATCTTCTCTTGCGGACGCAGCCTGTGTCTTGGTGGTGGCTGTTTCCACTTCGCTTCTTGCAGCAACCCTTACGCCAGAGCCGCTGCAACCCCCTGCAAAGGGAGGGGAGACGAGCACCACATCCGCCAAAGGAGCAAACACCTCCCGCTGCATCACGAGTTGACCGATACTCACGTCGGTGGGGAGCACAACACGACCGTCGCCATCGCCGCCGCCGTCTGGAACCGGGAAACCATCGAAGGACGTCATGCACGTGCTAAGAAAATCCTGCAGCGTCACACCGCCCCAACGACGCCACGGCGGTCCGCACGGCAGCGGGCCCTCTTCGTCCTCTACAGGCAAACATCGCCGTAAAGCCGCGGTGGAGCCCATAAAACAAGCATGGCCATTTGTCTGCGGAATTATGGCAGCAGTCACGCTAAGAAATAAAGGATCATGCGCCCAACTCGGAGTCCCTGTCTTTTTTTTATCGCCATTCTGTCGAGAAATCTGAAGCAGCTGCTGCGTCGCGTGATGGGTGGTGACAATCTCAAAAGCATGGGCCACAAGGTCAAGACTTTCCTGCTTACTGAGCATGGTGTGAAGCAGTGATTGCACCGCACCTCCAGCACAGTGCTGTCGATGCAAATAGAATTGCACGCGCTGAGAGGTCTGTGGCATGGTGGCTGCAATGGCAAAGGGGTTTGCACCCACCAGATGGACGGTCCCATGACAGCGATCCAGTAACAACGGCATCGTACCGTAAACAAAGACATGTGAGTATAAGTCATCCATGTGAATGCATGTAGATGTATTGGCAGAAAGCGGGGGATACATCATCAGAGCAGCGCTAAGCGATGGCTGCAAAAACGGGGAGGAATGTTTCGTAGCCACCACCCCGTGCATGACTGCCGCTGCGACGGCCAACATTATTACTACTACCACTTCCATCACCCCCACGCAGCCCACTGGTTATGCGTGTGATCCACGACACCGGCTCCTCACGCTCCAGAATGAGGCTTGCCCAAAGGCTTTTGCTCCCGCTTCCACTGCATTGAGAAGAAGCGGCATCCGTGCCATGCCACCCTCCAATCCTTGCAGCAGCAGGAGCAGAAGCTGACATACTTGTTTCCACGGATTCCGATGTCCCTCCTGAAAGACTGCTCTTTACATCGTGTTCTCTCTCGCCACAGGCGATATCAAATGCACAGGAAATCCCCTGCCGCAAGACATGCAGAACGACAAGGTTGTCAATCACCTGCAGTGCCACAGGATCTCGTCGTAGATTGAGCGAAAAGTCTGGACGCAGCAGCGCATATCGCACAAAACTTTCTTCACTGCCGTTCTCAGCAGACATGTAGCGATAGAGCATAGCGCCCCCGTCGTGACGAGAAAGGCTGCAAAGAAAGAGCTGACGATATAGGACAAGCAATCCGACAGGATACCGCACGCTGGGTCTGTCCATGCACGCGGGAGAAGAAAAGAGCAACGACATCTCACTATTCTCGTCCCCCGAGATGGCCCAGTCCTCATCACCCCCTCCATCACTATCCTCATCCTGCAGACGCAACGCGGGTAGTGGTCGCAGGCCCTCATCGCTCACTTCAAATGACTTCAAGATGCGTGACTTCAAGCGGTTGACGGAGAGAAGCGTTCTGGCGGCGGGGCAGTAGTGCCAGTAGTCAGAGTGTGTCGGGAAGCGCCGAAGGAGCACGCAAAGCTCCCGGCTGCCTACCTTCTCTTCCGTGGCACACGGCAGCAGCTCCTCGTCCACGCCCACCAAGTCAAGGCTAATGGTAGTGACGCAAAGAAGGATTCGGCGTCTAGAAGCGGCCGCCGATAAAAACTTTGCGGGAGTCAGTGAGGAGGCGTCGTCATCCGGCACATTTCTCCGTTCGTGCTGCTGCCGCTCCTTTCCTCCCGGCAAATCTACCATTGAACTCGCGCGCCGTGTAGGAAAATTACAAGATGGGCTCTGAGTGCCATGCAGCTCCTCTGCCCAGTAATACGCCTGAATGGGGTAAAAGTCGTCGCGGAATCGCAGGCTCTTGGGCGCACACTGAAAAGTCGCCAGGGCGTATAATGGCAACGCCCCCATGTACGCATGACAGAGAACAAAAAGGACACTGCGTGTGTCAATGCTAAGTGCCACGAGGTACGCACGTTCGTCCCCGCTGTGGTAGCTATCACTGCTACATGTCATGGTGTCGTGGTAGCCGCAGTGAAGTGGGATGGGGCAGCGCTTTGCGTAGCGAACAGGGAGCAGCTCTCCGTCGCCTTCTCGGCTACTCACCGTCAACGCAATGGCGTCGGCCGGCAGGGCAGGGTGGTGACGCATCCACTCCACATCATTGGCGGCTGAAGAGGCATTTTCCTTCACCTTCTCACACGGGTCCTTACGAGAATCCGCAACGGCGTCAACATTTTTGTCGGGCTGCAAGAGGGATGAGTTGGAGGCAATCTCCGCCGTCGTCGCCTCGTAGTTCCCGGGCCCCTCGCGCAGCCGCAGCTGGTAGAAACACACCTGCCTGGAGGCCCTGCTGAATACGACGACGTCGTTTGCCACCTCGTCAATGTAGATACGCGTGACTCTGCTCGCATCGTTGCCCCCGGCACCACCACCAGCAGCAGCAGCAGCGGTCGTGCAAAATCGGAAAACGGGTTTTCGAAAGACCATGAATGGTGGAACTGTGGAGACATCCGTCATTGTGCCTCACCTCCAGACCTCTTTCCAAAAAGGGGTGTACACATGTAATATATATACAAAACAAAAAAGTGGGAGAAAAAAGAAAAAGATAAAGGAAGTTGTCATCTCACACACCCCTTTAGACACAATTCAAAATAAATAAATAAATAGCCCCCATTTCGTTATTTTTTTCTTTCCGTCTCCTTTTGCTCCAAAGCAAAAAGACACACACACACACACACACACAGAGAGAGAGAGAGGGAGAGAACCACGCATAGACAAGCCCTGTCCTTGTACCTCATCGTCGCGCCCATAAAGAAAAAAAAAAGTAAAAAAAAAAGGTGTCGTCGCGATTAGTAGCCAAGCTCACGGCGCAAAAAAGACTTGGGGCTTGTCAGCCACGCCATGTCGTGGCTCTGTGACGTCATGATGGCGTAGAGAAACAACATGGAACACGTCGCCGGGGCTGTCATTGTATGAAAGAGGATGTCAAAGGCAACGGACACCAAAAACACCGTTGTTAGCAGTGGGAAAGCGGCGTAAAAGCGGCCAATCATGTAGCAGCCGCAGCACCAGAGAAACACTTGGAACGCGCCCGGGGTACGCCACTTGACCCAACTCCAATACCGTGGCATCTCGTCCACGTTGCGTGCCATCCACTCCGGGAGGAACTTGTAGTAAAAGTACTGCGTGTCGCTGACAAGGTTGCGGTAGCGGCGGTCCAGCGTTGGGCTTTTTGTAATGATTTCGTAGGCCTTGTTGATTTGGTTCAGCCGCGGTATGTTGCCAACCCCCTTCGGGTCCAACTCCGGATGGACCTCCCGCATCAACTCGTGGTAGCGCAGCCGCAGCGTCTGGCTGGGGACCCCCGGCTTCACCCCGAGCACCTCCCACGGGTTGTACCCCGCCGCCGCCGCCGCCGCGGGCTCCTCCCCGCCATCGCCACACGCATCGCTGGCCGCTCGACCGCCTCCCGCACCCGTCACCGTCTGTCGTGTCACGCCACGCACGACTTCCTCCTCGTGTGGCTTCTGCGCGTGGCGGGACTCTTCAATGTCGGCTGGGACACTGCCGTACGGCGCGGCACCAGTGAGGAGACGACGGGAGGCGCTCAGCGGCAACGTCGCGCCCCAGAGCGCAGGATTATTCCCACAAAAGACGCCAATGGCAGGACGGAGAATTGCCGCCCGCCGCATGCCGCACTAAACACAAATCAACAAAAAAGAGGCGCAGTCGCCTCCTATTCCGCCAAATTTTACAAGCCACGCAAAAATAAAATATAATAAATAATAAATTCCCTAAATTGCCCCTCCTTCTTTCGTGCTGCTCCTACGCAAAAGCCACGTCCACGGCCGGAAGACAAAAAAAGAAAAAAGAAAAAAGAAAAACCAACTCCACAAGCAGCCTCACCGCACATGTGTGCCATGCACGTGTTTTTTAAAAACCCTCCTCTTCTTTATGCTCCTCCTCGGTTTTGTTCATGCGAAAAAAATGGACGCCACCACGGAACGCAGACAGAAACACAAACAGATCACAACACCGCCAACAAGAATAATAAATAAATAAATAAATGGCGCAGGTGTAAAGTTTAAGTTTTGGTCACTTAAAACATTATGAGCCCTGCACCATCATCTTAAACTATCCCCTGCTAATATTTCCCCTCGTTTCTGCTCTCCATGCTCACTCAGACCATTTTCCCCATACATCACAAACATACACATACACAGCTGCATACTTACTTCTCACATCACAAAGGCCCAAAAGAGAAAGTGCATGACAAAATAAATGCCCACAATAATCTCCGGTACGAGGAAGAGAAGTGTAGCCCATAAAAGCGTGCATATCACCGCCCACAGCCTCGTTGCCATCGCATAGAGAAACACCACAGCCACAAACAGCGCCACAGTCAGGCCAATCCGTGCGGGTGCCACGTCATGTGTGTTTCCAAGAGAAAGTGTCCGGCGCAGTGCCGGTAAACGTGGAAAGATGATGTATCCCGTCAGTGATGTACCGGCGTGATGCAGAAGCGCGGCTGGGTCAAAAATGCTGCGCCATGACCCTTGCCGAGGCCGCCCGTAGTAGGACATCAAACGTGGTTCTTCCATAATGAGAAGCGTGTGTGTGACACTCACAATAGAGCACTGAGCTTCCGGCACCGCCGCCGTGGAGGGCACGCATACCTTCAGAAAGACCGAGGCGTTCACTGCCAACGCACCACCACTCCCGCGATGATCCCGCAGATAATCATGCACAGTGTGCAGATGTCGACGCCCGTAACGAGAAAAATCGGCAGCCATCGTCGCGTGTGCACGTTCTGCGGCTGTCGTGTTAACTTGGAACACAACCTCCGCGAGGCTATTCCTTCTACCCCGGCCCTCTTTCAGTAACTTCGTAAGTGAGACTGGGAGACCTGTGAGAATGGCGTTCGGACGCCTCGACAGCGGCACCTCGCCTCCAAGAATGTCACGCAGATTGTAGACAACCAACTCAAACTGTAAGTACGGTGCACTGCCTCGTTGGAGACGTGGTGGCTGCCAGTGCCTCAAGAAGAGCTGCAGATTATCCCACGCTTCGGTTGGACACAACGTTGAAAAACGCCACTCTCGCGGCACTCGTGAGGCTGCGTAAAAAGGCACGCGAAGTGGCTCCACCAACACACGGTTGTCAAGCGGCGGCGATGTAGCTGGCGGAAAGAACCAAAGGCCCGTCAGGTCCCCAGCCATAAAATAAGTGGTGTCCGCCAACAGACACCCGCGGCACTCTGTTGCGATACCAGGCACAGCGAATAAAATCTCCTCAATGGTGCTGAAGGAACGAATAGGGGGTAGATGGTCATCGTCGAACGTGCCGTCGTACTCGTCACCATGGAAAAGATCATTCAAGTCACTTTGAGCCGCAGGGATGCGAACACTCACAAACGTGTCGTTGTACCGATAAACAAATTGATGCCGCTGGGTAATCTCTGGCCTGGCCATAATAGAGAAGAGATAATTCACAAAGTCCGAGCGGTACAGGCCGCCATGCCGAAGAAGAAGATGATGGGCGCTGTCAAGGCGGTGGTGTTCCACAATGCTAAAACTATTGATGAGTGCCACGTTATGCGGTGATCGATAACGGGCACCATCAACAGCACTACGACTACTGCTAATGGTGCCACTAATACCAATACGACCTGCGCCGTTCTCATACCAGGCATTCTCGGGCAAAGACGTTATATCGTCATCGTGTATTCCCCTCCCTCCCACATGATCGTGCCATCGATCACCAATAAGCTCAATGCCAAACTCTGCACCACGGCGACGCACATCCCCCTCACACATCAAAAGCGGACGTCGGGCAATTGACCCCGACCACGACGATCGTGCCGTGGCTTCCTCAGGAGCAGGCAGAGTACGAAGATGCAATCGAGCTAACGTCGGGAGCACCTTCACTACAAATGACACGGATGTTTTCCCTTTTGTGTGACTGTCCTCTGAAAGCACACCGCGGAGTGTAATGCGGAGCAACCGTGGAAGAAACAACTTTTTCTGCAGCAACTCGCTATCCTGCTGCTCGTCGTAATCGGCGTGGCTTAACATCTGAAAAAAAGGGCATGGTGATAATTGCAGGTACAGATGCTTTTTCGTCATGGACGATGCTGCCACCCGCATCCCGAAATGCATTTGCTGCAGACATGGCAAAAGACCCACCTCTGGTGAAGTCTCAGTGAGACCCGTGCTGTTTGGATTGTGCACCTCCTCCAGCAGAACGCGGTCCGTCGGGAACACATCCATCGCGGCAAACGTTGTCCCGCTGACGCTAACTTGAATAACAGGAACGCCGCCCTCCACCTCGCACTGCTTGATCGCCGCAGGGCTCGCCCCCACCGCGGGTGGAACGTCTATCACTTCCACCCGACCAAACAACACCAGTGACGCCGGGTCAGCGCCTGCCGAGACGTTGGTGCCGCAGAGCACGTCTTTATGTACCGCGGCGCGAAGGAAAAGGTTGTGTGGTACCGTGAAGGGTTCGTGAGGCGGTAGCGTCAGACGGATAGCGGCGACCCCCTCCTCAACGACGCCCTCATACAACCGCAGTATCCTCTCAAAGCGCTCCTCTGATGTCAACTTCGCCAGCAATGCCGGAATTTCCGCTTGTTTCATCTCGGCACGTTTTGCACGGCGCTCCCGTTCAATCTCATCCAGCTGTCTCTTTGTGATGCGGCGACGTGCGAGGGCGGCCTGCAACTCCGGGGGCAGCCCCGTCACGTCGATGCCTTCGCGCGTCCAGCGATATTCCCGTTGCAACCCCTCCAGCTGCTGCTCAATGACGTCCAGCGTCACCAATCGCTGCTCCTTCGGCGGTACGCGATAGAGTTGGCGACGACGCAGTGTCGCCTCCGTGTCGTCCGGCCGCGGCAGGAGGTGGGCGAGGGAGACAAAAAGCGGCTCACACCCCACGTGTTTCTCTCGCACCGCCGCAACATATTCCAGCCACTCACGCGCGGTGCGCCCCTCGGCGCCATCGGGGCGGTTCACCTCCGTCCAAAAATTTAACACATCGGATGCCCGAACGGTGCCGCGGGCACAATTCGCAAGCAGACTGTGTCGTTGCCGCCCGTCTTCCGATGATTCCGCAGCGTGGACGTAGCCCCCCATCTGCTTTGGCTGCGCGGTGTCGAGGCGAAGCAACACGACCACCGCTTTTCCCTCGTTGCTGATGTCAAGCTCTGTTGTAACTATGTCAGGCACGCCAAGAAGACTTAACATGGGACGCATGGAACGCTCCTCACGCGTTAAAGTGGCAAAATGGAGAAACGGCAAAAATTGCGCAATTTCACCGCCACGAAACAGTGAATTGCGCGTCGATCCGCCGTCGCCCCACGTTGTCGCCCCATCGATGATTTCACTCGTCATAAAATCACCGCCGTGAGGGCACAAACGCGAGGATCCAAGTTGCTCCTGTGCCAGAAACATGTGATGCGAAACCTCTTGTGGGTGCAAATGTCTTGCTGCGGTCACGGTGACGGAGACGCAGCGCCCTGTGGCGTCGGCATGGACGTTCGACCAACGTGTCTGGCTTGCGACCCACCAGGGCAGCGAACATCCTCGCGCCTCAAGTCGGGCCGCGCCGGACTTCACAATCGCCTCAAATGATGCCGGCTCAACAAGACGCGCCCCAAACGACGGCAAAGATGATGATGATGTGAATAAAATGCCTCTGCTCTGCGCCCCCTCCGCATGCAAGCAGATGGAAATTTGACCACGTCCGGAGTACGCATCGCACTCGTGACTGAGCGTCGTGTTTGCGGAGAGAAAAGCCGACACGCGCTCAATCTCAAATTCTTGGCGCGGCACATATGGGCACCTCTTCGTCAACATCGGGCCAAACGCACGAGGCGAGAGGTGAAGTTCGTACTGCAGGCGTGTCAGGCCAATGGGCAAGTTTGTCACAATGACGACTTGGTGCCCAGCACCGAAACGGCTACCCGTGCTGCTCTCGTTTGACACAGTCTCGACGCGGAGACGTGGACGACGCAGCGTCAGAGGACTGGACGACGCCTCCGTCTCCGTCAGCACCCAATGCAGAGTGGAGGTGGTAGCAAGAAGGTAGACACTCTGTGAAAGCGTAACAAGACGGTTCGAAGGAAGATTTTCCGTCAACACCAGCAGACGCACGGTTTCGTAGTCTACCAAGAGACCCCGTTGCTTCTCCTGTCGTTCCTCGTCATTCCTCTGCGTATCGGGATCAGTGGGAGAAACAGCGTACACAGCCCAGCGAACCGTAAGAATGCCAAACGGAAGTCCACGCACTACTGTTCTTGGCCTCCTTCCGTGATCGAATCGAATACCCGTAAAATTGGCACCGCTAGTCCACGTCTCGTTCTCGGACGTCTGCAGCGACACCACCTCCCACTGCCCAAAGAACTCACATCCAATTTCACGCGGAATAGGTACGGCCTTCAGCACCGCGGAGTCTCCGCAAACCGTCAGCTCCTTCTCAATGACCTGCGCGTGCACAACGTGTAGTGTCTCCACGATACTCGAGTTCGGGCAGACGCCTGGATACATGGGATCCGGGTGGTAATAGCCAAACGTATACAGCCCAGGGACGCGTATTCCTGACACCAATACTGTGGCATCCCCAAATCCCCTTTCAAGCGCAAGCGGATGTCGAGGGAGTGGCAGGAAATGTATGGAATCAAGCAGCCGTCCGGTGCCAACGGGGGATGGAACCGCCGGCACGACGCTGAGGGCCGTCCACCTAGAGGTCCGACCCCCCACGTGGGCATCGACATGAAGAATAAGTTTTTTCCCAAAGATCCATCGTGTTCTTGTCCTTCTGTGTGTTGTGTCAGGGCTACCGTTGGTCTCTAAACGTGTCGTCTGCTTGGAGCGTGTAGTGCCGTTTGCAAAACACTCTCCCATCGCAGCGTTGCCACTCAAAATTGCAAACGTCGGCGGCAACGGTGTTGGGTAAACTCGCCGCAGTAGAAAAGTATCCTTCTGCACGGTTTCTGTCAAGTCATTCCGCACTGTCAAACTGCAGCGTGTGTCGTTCGCAGGCCCATTGTGACGCAAAATAGAAGCTGTCGGTGTGCGCCGCTCCACCACGATAACGCCATCGTCCTCGCACGACCACGAGAAATCAAATTTGTACTTTGTGCTCAGCCACGGATGACGCGAGAACAGAAATGACGGGTAGCAGAACGGAAGTACACCATTTTCCACAACCGGCACTACACCACGAGGATTGACCGAAAAAACAGAGATGTTTCCACGCTGCAGAAGACACATCCCGCGTCGTGCAAATTCCGCAGCGTCTCGGCTTGGCCCCGTTGCAGTCGGGGAGGGCCACACCTTGTACAGAAGTGGGTAATGGGAGCTGTTGTCGAGGCCGTTAAACCACACTTTTCGAAGCCCGGAAAGATGTGTAAAAAAAAACCGGGTGTCCGACGCAAGGTCCAACGCATAATCGCGCTCTCGTGCCCTGTCAGCCACTTGCTGCTCCAAATTCACAGCCTCCTCTGTATCCCCAACACGCAGGATGCTCTTATCATCTGCCATACTATCATTATTATCATTATCATTAGTATTTCTATCATTTCTATCATCTCTCATCTTATCACCATCCAACGACAGCAAGGAGCGGCGGAGGAGTAGCGGTGCTGCAGCAGCGGCAGCGGCCATCTCATCGCTCAGACCGTCATCGCCTACACGTTCAAAGTGTTGCTGCGTGACCCCCAGCTGATGTGCGGCGTCATGGGCGTATTTGAAGGTCACCTCAAAGTCCTGTTGCAAACCCGAGTAGTTGAACGAGTAGCCAACCGTCGCGCTGTAGCCCGCAACTGGAATGACACGCCGTGCTGTGTAGCGAGGCACTTGTGCCGTCGTATTCTTCGCGCTCCCTCCAACGTCCATGTCATCAGGGACGTCGTCATATCCGTCAAGCCACTCAATCAAAGGCAACGCGTAAACGGAAAGCGAAATGTCGCGTGGTTCCTGTAGGCCGTCCTTGTGAAACAGCAGCTGTGGGGGACTTTGGCAGCGCCGCAGGGAGAACGTCTGCGTGACAGCCGCGACAGGGTTCCGCGCCGTCCAAACAACATCACACCACCTGTAAACCTGGATGCCGCACACCTGCACCTCCTGAACCTCCTCCTCTTCTAATGAAGAAACGTTATGTTCTGCCCTCTTTCCTTTCTCCAGCCCCGCGATGTATGGTGGTGACTGTGGCGCCTCCTCGCAGTGAGGAACGTGCCAGCGTGCGTCCTCGTCCTTCCAACGGGGGCGTGGTGCCCGCAGATGAACACAGTCGTCTTCCGTGTAAAAAGGCACCAGGGCCGGCACAATGGGCGGTGCCGCGAGAGCCACCACCGTCACTGTGTGCTCCACAACCCGCGGCGGGCAGCGAGATGTGTACGGCACGCCAAGGTCGATCGCCTCGCCGGGATCCTCCGCAACAAATCGTAGTGTTCCCTCGCGCAGCCTCTGCGGAACGTTTGGGACACCCGATGTATCCAACTCCGCCAC